CAAGGTACATACACACACAAACTGTGTGAGAGTGAGAGTGAGAGAGTGAGTGAGTGAGTGAGTGAGTTTTATGACTGTTTGAATTTACATTGATCCTTTTCTCTATACTATGCCTCTTTATTGAATTACGGCTCTTTCAAATGTACAGAAAAGTGCTTGGCCCGGCAGACAGGTTTGTGAACTTTTACCATCAATTGTTAAAACAAATATAATGTGCCATAGGGACATCATGATGATCAACCATAAATATTCATACCAAGGGGGGTCACGTGACGCAAATGGCGGAGTAGGCAGCTCATCGTTTGTGCTCCCGCAGCTCGGTATCCTTCAGACTATTTTTCTGTGGAAAACGGTGGTTTCATTGGGCAGTCTTCGATGCCTAGACCTAAGAGAGCGCCTTCTAGGCAGAACATACTTAATTTGCTCGCGAAACCCCCTGTGTCAGGAGTTCAGTCACCAAACTCGCCATCTAGCAGCCAAGCTAACATGGCGGACGACACGCGGCCGCTTCTAGGTCAAGTTGACGCCGACAGTTTGGTGGAAAGAATAACCGCTGAAGTGCTCAAAGGTGTAAAGGCTTCCTTTAATAAGAAGATCGACCCAGTTTTGAATAAACTCGAGGCATGTTCGTCTAAAATCACCGCGCTGGATGGTCGTATTACAGAGGCTGAAGACCGCATTACGAACTCCGAGGACGCTATTGCAATCCACATCACTAAACTTTCCGACGTCGAGAGTAAGCTGGAGGCGGCCATGGAGAAGATCGATGATTTAGAAAACAGGAGCCGGCGGTGCAACATACGTGTCGTCGGGCTTCCTGAAGGCAGCGAGGGTGCTGACCCAGTTGCTTTCTTTAAGACCTGGCTGCCGGAGCTTCTGAAAACCAGTTTTAAAGGTGGATCCGTTAAACTGGACCGCTGCCATCGCGCCCTCGCACGCCAGCCACCCCCCAACCAGCGAAGACACTAGTATTAGAGGAATCTCTTTGAATAATCATGAGCATAAAATCTCGCTGTATGCTGATGACGTTTTGATTTTTTTAAGCTCCCCTACTCATTCTATCCCTAGATTAACTCAACTAATTCATAATTATGGCTCTTTTTCTGGGTACAAAATAAATTTTTCTAAAAGTGAAGCCATGCCTCTTTGTTGCTCTCATACGTTAGACCCAAATATCTCATAGCCGTTTCGCTGGTCTCCAGCAGGTTTCCTATATCTAGGTATAAAAGTCTCGCCACGCTTAAAAGATTTATATAAATTAAATATTGCCCCTCTCTTACAAACTATAAAACAGGACCTCGATAGATGGTGTGGCCTGCCTCTGTCCGTCGAATTTCATTTGATTAAAATGAAACATTCTCCCACGTCTCTGTTATTAACCTTTCAGATGCTGCCGATTATGTTGTCAAAGAAAGTGCTTGCAAAATTTAATAGTGCTATTATATCATTTATTTGGCGTAAAAAAAGACCCAGGTTGAGATACAGTTTTCTTTGCCTACCTATTAAGAATGGTGGCTTAGCAGCACCCTCTCTTTTATGCTATCTGTGCGCGGCACAGCTCAAGTTTCTTTTGGAATGGTTTATCGGTGACCCTGATTCTGTTTGGCTCGGTTGCGAATCCGACTCTCTGGATAAAATCCCTTTACTGAATTTATTATATATTTCTCCTGGCAGGGTGGCAACATTAGTAAAAGATAATGTGATTTTAAAGAATATGTAAAACATTTGGCGTAAAGTCCGGAAATTGGAGGGGTACAGTAATTGCTTCTCTTTGTTGACTCCCATTCATGAGAACCTTGACTTTCAACCTGGATTACGGGGCGGCCTTGTTGACTGGAAGTACAAGGGCATCAGGGTCGTTGGGGACATGATCCAGGGAGGCTCAATCCTCACATTTCAACAAGCGAAAAGCAAATATGGGATCACAGATAAGGATTTTGTCAAATTTCTGCAAGTTCGTAACTTTATTTTATGTAACTTAAAAGATTCCACTGGTGGTCTTGCTATATCTCCCATAGAATCCCTATTGGTAAATGGTACGCAACTTAAATTTTTTATGAAGAAAGTGTATAAGATCCTCTGTAATCTCAACGTAGATAATTCTGTTAAAGTAAAAGGCAAATGGGAATCTGACTTGGGTACAGTAGAGTCTGAGGACTGGGATGCTCTGTGCAGCCAGCCCTCCAGGGTCCTGATGTCTAATTATGCATGGGAGAGGCAATTTAAGATTTTGCATAGACTTTTTATCACTCCTGTAGACAGACACAGATTCAATCCTAACCTGTCAGAGCTCTGTAATAAATGTCAATCTGTTGTAGGTTCATTTATTCATTGTTTATGGAGCTGTTCTCATATCCAACGGTTTTGGAGTATAATTGTTCAACAGCTAAATCTGATATTTAAGTGTCATCTACATCTGAGTGCAAGGACTTGCCTGTTAGGACTAGAGGATGAACTGCCTACTGGCTTTCGCCACAAAGACCTTTTTACACATTTTGCTGCACTGTATCTCAATGTATCTTGGCCTTATGGATCTCTGACAAAACTCCCACTCTCAATCAGTGGAAACAAACTGTGACTGGTATCGTTCCATTTGAGGCTTTTTCAACGGCATTAAAGGACAAACCCTTTGTATTCTATCGGACCTGGGATCCATTTCTTGACTACCTAGGTGCCGCGGCCATATCCTCGGCAAGTTCGGGGATCAGGGTTAATAGCCTGCCTGGGGAACGGAGATTGGCAGAGTTATAGGTGTGATTTAAGCTATCAAACTTGAGTTATGGGTATGTTGATTTTTTTTCTTTCTGTTTTTTTTGGTGGTCCCCGTGATACTTATTTGATTATGTTGTGTGTTGCTTGGTTTTTCTTCTCCTTTTAGTTATGCAGGCGTGAAATTTGTGTTTTTTGTGCACTATCTTGTTTAGTGCTTTGTTTTTTTCTGCGTCTCTGGTCGTTGCCTGCTTGCCAAGAGAAAAAAAAGGTTCAATAAAAGACAAGTGAAAAACCCCAAAAAAAACAAGTTGGTTTGAGTTAAACTGCCCCAATTAACCTCTGAATGTTTTAGCCTGTTGGTTAAATTGCAATTGTGATGCCCGACGCCAACTGCAGTATATCGGCAGGATTCATTAAAAAACGACTACAGCCTCTACAGTCATTTCTGATACGTGGGTTTTGCCATGAAAGTTTACAAGCGGTGGGGCCGGGCTGCTCCAAATCAACCAAAAAAAAGCTGAAAAGGAACATTATTTAAAGTTTGTGGGTGCGTTGGAATTGGACTTGACGCAGAATCCCCTCGCATTGACCTCGACTTTGCAGGTGTGCATACTGCTTTCGAGTGTCTTTCCACCGTGAAAAACGCCCACCAGCTGACATTTTTCTCCTGCCTTCGTTTAACATCTCGCCACAATTCCCCGTTGCTGTCGCGTGTCCCAAACAAAATACACATGGCCAGAATCCCCCCTACCCCTCCCGTCCCCCCTGCCTTCTCCCTCTCCCACAACATACAGAACTAATATATTACATTCTTTGTTATCCCCAATTTACTATCGGACCGATCATATTAAAAATGACGGAACATCCGGCATACCTATAATGCCGACTATATCGTGCATCCCTAATTTCTACTATACGGTACATTCTTTACAGTTAAACAAGGATAAGCCAAGCCTTAGCCTTTTTGATTTTTTTTTTGTATACTAGTTAGTATACAACTGTTGTTGAGGAGCTAACCGCTAACACTGCTAGCCCAAGCCCCCAGGAAGAGCGGCAAGCTATGAAGCCAATTTGACAATGGTGTAATTAAAGCAATGTCGTCAGTCCCGTAATGCACTCAAAGAGACCCATAAGGTTACATTGTGAAAGAAAGGGCTGTAAAACGATTTAACATTTAAAAAGTCTAAAAGATTTGCAACATTAAATTATTTATCTCCATTCAAGTTAACGGAGGGTTAAACCAGAAGTTAGTTGGTCCTGCCAGCGAAAGTCTCCAGTGTACGAATTCATCCGGGTAGTTCCTTTGCAGCAGGAAGGGGCTTTTTTTAGCTTCATGCGCCAGTGAGCAGCTTTTGTAGGAATGAACTGAGCTGTATCCAGGTCCCGATATACATCCATGTGCTAGCTCCCTGGAAAAATGTTAGCACTAGAAAGTGAACAACAACTCTCTGAGCAAGGTTGTTGGCTCGCTCACTGACGGGACTGTTGACATACTTAATTCAAAAGACGTATTTATAGGTACTGTACTTCATATTTGTTTCAGATGCATACATTTGGGAAAAAACATGACCACATGTCCTTTGTCCTCCTAGATATATTACAGTTTATATTTTAATGTTTTGATGTTAAATTAAATGTTTTTCCTGGTTTGTTCGGGATTGTCCTAGTTTCAAGCTAGGTGTCCTGAGTCCTGACACCTATCTCAAACACTGAACTGTCCCAGTTTTTAACACAATTAAAATATTATTATAATATTATACTTGTTTTCAGCACTTAAATGGAGTTTCATAATGTTCTGTTCCAATATAAAAACAAACAATTAAGCAATGCAATTCAATACTGATTGATTGATCTGTATTTGTGTCAGTCAATCGTTGTCAAGGCTGTCACTAGCCTATGGCTCTTTCTACCTGTCAGTATGCTAACAGTTAGCTGTCAGTCATTTCTAAAGAGCTCTAGGAGGCTAACTCCTTCATAAAGTTACCTGGCAATGAAAATGCTGCGTTCATGGCGTCCGTGGTGTTAGAAGGTGCTCTCTGTAGAAGAGATTGGCTGTGTTTAATTGCAAACATTGGGACAAAACTGATTTTGGACTCAAGAGACTCAAGTCACAAAAATGTCATGACCAAAAGTAATTTTTGTCCCTTAAGTTAAAAATGCCATAAAGCAGTAGAAAGTCTGTGTATATAATTTGATAATCCTGCATTGATGTCACCTTTTTATATTCAAGAAATATGTTAAATATGCCACACATAACAATTGCTTTCTGCCTTTTGTTTTGCTCACAGTGACTTGTATGACTTCTATCACTATTTCTACATGCTGACCAACGTCCTGTTCTACGTCAGCTCGGCCATCAATCCCATCCTCTACAACCTGGTGTCTGCCACCTACCGCCAGATCTTCTTCTCCACGTTACGGTACTTCTGTCTGCCCTGCCGCCATACACCCAGGAGGCACCCCCACCCCCTTACCCGCCACTCCATCAGCATCTCCAGCAACCACACCCTCGCCACCAACATCATCAAAGAGACGGCATACTGATTGGGCTGCGATGGGGCACACTCTCTCATACTATAAACCCATCTTGTGGTTAATGGTTCATTTTCATCAAGGAAATTCTGGTACCGGTTTGGAGACTGTTAGCAGAGGCTGATCTGGTACTGGGGTCATTGTCATGTGCCGTTAAGTGCCCACTGTGGTCTTATTTCTGATTCACATTTTATTATATGTTATTGTAAGTGTTTTTATTTAGTATAACGTAATAAAACACATTTGTGAAATCAAAAAACAAAATATGACAATGGAAGAAAAAAAAAGCAAGGACAAGCAGTGAAGGAGTATCTTTTGAAATGTTAACTGATATGTAAATGTTTTATACAGTATATTTCTATGTAAGTGTTTTTATTGGACTTTGGATCATTCACACTTGCTTGGTGCTCTACGGTGTAAATAACTCCACTATTTCTGTGTTTTGTAAGCTTTAACATTTAAAATTTCGGAACGTACTTTCTCTAGAACAATGGCTTCTGGCTTTCTACACCACAAAAGTTCTGATGTAACCTTCCTTTGTGCTATTTTGTGTGAGTATCTGTGGATAAACCTGGCTTTGATGTTAGAAGAAAGAGAGGCAGAGAGTAGGTATTACTCTTTCTTGAATCCAAGTTGCAGTGACAGCTGTATAAATCACTTACATCATTACGACTGACTTCTCTTGCCTCTCTTGGCTTTGTCACAAGCAGCTTTTTAACGACACTTTTTGTTGAATAGAGGGTGGGTCCAGGTAATCGTCACACTGCTTAGACTATAATATGAATGTCTATTGGAATTCTTAATAGTTAACAGTCTTCTGCATTCACAACAGCCTTTTAAAAATGTGAAGTGGGTAGACACAGACATGGAGAAGTGAGCAATTATTTAGTTAAGGATTTGTACAAAACAGTAGTGAGCATGTGGAGCAAATAACACATGTTGGAAATGAAGTCATGCATAGACACAAGCATGCCTACCCGAAATGAAACATTGGGTCTGTGGGGGGCCAGAGACAGGAGCACCTGTTCTGATGCCTCCCCACCAGCTGCTGCTTAAGGAATCAGTGGCAGGCAGTGATCTGGGGACTCCAAAGTTTCCTTTAGGAGCAACATGAAGACGTGAAACAATCTGGACTCTCACATGCTACGGAGAATTAGAAATGCAGTCGCCAGCATTTATCCATGATTCTGAAACAGCATTTTGAAAGGCCAAGAAAATGGAGCTTGTACGATGGGTTGCTCTCTTATGAATGATGTCAGGTAGCTCATAACCACAAACTTTACAAACAATACCATAGTTTCTATGCGTAGAGATTACAGTAGCAAGAATTATGAAAATTATAGCAATGGACTTCATCAGGGGTTTTGCAGGAATGTCCAATATTGACGGTTTTGTCTGGCATCTACAGTACACTACTTATTCCTGCCATGTAAGATTAATTGTCCACCCTGTTATTGACCGTATTGATTACAAACTTGAGCCACTGTATAAGCAAATTGTAAAAAAGAAGCAGAGCTACTTTAATAATCCCTTTAATGAGTGAAATAAATTATTTATTCTTTTCAGTTATACACATAGGCCTGAAATACACTCTCAGGAGCCAAAGACATGCAGTAAATGTGAAGAGATATCAGAGTGATGGAGCTTTGGTGCGTTGCTCAAGGTCATCTCTGGAACCTCTACAGCTCTGGTTCAAGTCCACCACAGACTAGTTGGTACGATGACCTTCCAGTAACCACGCCATGTATCCATGGACTGAGCTGCTGCTACTGTTCTACTGTTACGGCAAGCTAAACTCAATCTTAACAAGTAATTTGTAAGAGCATGGCTGAGAGGCTGTTTTTAATGGGTCATCATAATCATATTATTCGAAATGTTTTCCTTTCTAGAAAATAAATGGACTAGCAGTGACTTGTTACTTGTATTGTCAGTATTCTGAAGTCTAGGCGTGCACATTGTGTTAGGGTAATGCTTTCTCCATGCGTGCACCTGCAGAGAACATGTAACTTATGTATTATGTGAATGTGGTTCTGCGGAGTTTGCTTTGCTTTAATATAAACAAATGGGATGAATGAATCAGCAACACTTGATCATTTGACCACCAAGGGTTTTACTTAATTTTATGAGAGAAGCTTCTATACACTTATTTAAATGGTAAATGGACTGTACTTGTATAGCGCTTTCTCAGGTCTTGCCCACCAACTCCAAAGCCGGCTTTACACAGTATGCCACATTCCACGCCTTGACTCACACCTGCACAGCGATGGCAAAGTCCATCGAACAGAAACTAAGCCACATGTCATCACGACCATGTCAGCACACTGGATGTTAGGTGCATCAGGGAGGCATTTGGGTTCAGTATCTTGGATCCCCACGGAATATCTCGACACATCGAACCCAAAACAAAATGGGGGCCTTCCGATTGGGGGAGACCCGCTCTAGCTTGGGTCTGGAAAGCCACCCCAACCGCCTTACTATTTAAATTTGCTGCAAAAGGAAATCAATGTATTTCATTATAATAGGCTATAGTGATGACACAGAACCAGGTCACAGCAGCTGAATCATTCAGTGTTTGCACTGCTTACGTTACTATGAAGTCCTACTTTAAATTTTTTTATTATGTAGCCTGTTTTTATGTGTACCAGGCTAAACACCAAAAGTTGAGGAGATGTACTGTGAGTGTATACAAAGTCCCATGAAAGAGTGGAGTCAATTTAGCAGATGATAAAAGCATCTGCAGCAATGGTAGAAGCTCTGTAAGGCTGTACTT